TGCTCAGGGCACGCCTCCCTAAGCTGCACTCCATTTGGGGGAGGAGTCAGGCTGTTGCTGGGTGGGGCCAGATATGAGGAGGAAAACATGTCGACATCTACCGAGTGAAAACTCGTTCCCTGCAGTTATGGCGGAAGGTTAAATGTCGTTAGCTCGACATGCGGCGTGGTTATGACTCAGAGCATAGCGGATCAGATGCTGTCAGATTTCCACAGAGAAACTTTACTAATGTCCTATTTTTGGGATTCAAAGAAATGCAGTTTATCAGTTAGATTCATCAGTTAGATGAATAGCGACTGAAGGCCAGCCTCATCCATCCAATCAAAGCAGTCCTTCATGGTGATGCAAAATTCCCTTTGGTTGCTAACCAACAACCTTTACTCTGTTTTTATTAATATTTATATTTTGATCCGGATCCAAGTTCTTTGTCTTAATTCCACTTGAGATGAAAGAAAATCCTCATCAAACGTCTCTTAACTGAAGAAAAAGGAAAAATATTGAATAGATTTCAGAGTTTTAAGAGTTTATGAAAAGATCTATTAATACACAACATTGACACTTTTTTATAGTTTAAAGAGTTAAATCATAAAACTTTAAAATTTTGACAGTTTTATTCCTAAATCCAAATCTCTGTCTCAGTGGGTTTTTAGTTCCTGGCTGTGATTGGCTGATTCCATCCATCCAGATGCAGGATTTGTAAGGATGGCTTTGATTGGATGAAAAATGCTGGCTTTTGATTGGCCGGTTGGTGAGCATGTTTCACCAACAGTTAAATGAGTTGTGAGTGCAGAGCTGCTCAGAGTTGGGTTTGGGTCCACATGGTCGACCAGAGGGGGCGGGGCTGGCTGGTTCTGGAGGTCTCTGATTGGACCGTGAGGAGGACTTCCTCAGGTTTCGGAGTGGCCTAGTCAAAGTCCTAAAGGTTGACCAAAAACAGGCCATGTGTGACCAAGGGAGACCTTCTCCAGATCAAAGGTGCTCCAGTTTCAGTAGGAAAACTTTCTTAATTTTCTCCCTTTGAAAGTTTGACTTTCAGCCACATTATATTGGAAGCTTTGATGTCAGAGAAAAAAGAGATGGAAATATGGCGCCTCCTGTCACTGCTGCTCGTTGCCATGACTACAGCTCATGGCTGGGAAACTAACCATGTGCTGCTGTTTTCCAGATTGAATGAGACTGACTGTGACCTCCCTGCAGACTCCTCCCCTATTCGGTTCTGGACTTATCAAAGAGGTTGATCCAGACTGGTACTGGTTCAGTTCTTATCTGAGAGGTAGATCCAGACTGGTACTGGTTCAGTTCTTATCTGAGAGGTAGATCCAGACTGGTACTGGTTCAGTTCTTATCTGAGAGGTAGATCC